GCGGCACCCGAGGGCCCGGCGCGGGGGTCCAAGGTGTCGTTCTCGTGCCGCGGGGCGGGCGCGGGGCCGGGGCCGGCGGATGAGGCGGGCAGCGAGGAGGCGGGCCCCGCGGGGGAGCCGCGCGGCAGCCAGGCCAGCTTCATGCAGCGGCAGTTCGGCGCGCTCCTGCAGCCCGGCGTCAACAAGTTCTCGCTGCGGATGTTCGGCAGCCAGAAGGCCGTGGAGCGCGAGCAGGAGCGCGTCAAGTCGGCGGGGGCCTGGATCATCCACCCGTACAGCGACTTCAGGTGTGGCCCCGGCGGGCGCCGAGGGGGGCGCCGTCCTTGGAGCACCTCGGGGAGGGCGGGGCTGCGCGCCCCGTGGGTGACCTCGGGGCCCCTCGGTGACCTCGGGCGCGTCCGAGACCCGCCCCGTGATGGCCTGGGCGCGCGAGGCTCCGCCCTGGGGCAGGGGTGGGGGTGGGGGGGGCTCTGGGAAGCGCGCGCAGGCTCCCGCGGTGACCCCTGAGCGCCCCCTCCCACGCGCCCTGACATCCCCATCCCTGCGGGATGGGCGCGCGTCATGAGCCGCAGGACCAGGGTCTGAGCGCGGAGGGGCGGAGAGGACGAATAGAGGGGAACGTGGGCGCAGGGGAGGCGGCAGAGCGGAAGGAAGGAGGAAGGAAGGGCGCCCGGGAAGGACGTGCCTGGGAGAGACCGGCGGAGAAGGGGTTAAGCGAACGTGGCTCGCTCCCAAGGTCTCCACCTGCGCCCCGCAGCTCAGGGAGGCGCGTTCCGGTCCTCGGGCCTGGGTATTGCGCGAGGAGAGGGCGCTGAGCGTGCTGGGGTCCCCAGGCTGTGTTCTCTGCGCCGCAGCAGCCCGAGCCACTGGGTGGCGTGCCCATGTGTCAGTGGGTGTGTAGACGTTGTCTGTGTTCAGGCGGTTGATAGGTGCAAAGGCTCAGAGCAAGGCCCAGCGCAGGGTCACGGCTGAGTATGTTTGTGGTTCTCGTTCCTGGGTGCGCGCCCTGTAGCCTGCAAGCGTGAAGCGTGCATATCACTGCAGGCTACGTGTGTGATGGGGAGCATGTGACTGCAGGGGGCGTGGGCCGAGCGATCTAGGGGGCAGGCGGGTCCCTAGGGGTGTGTGTGTGTGTGTGTGTGTGTGTGTGTGTGTGTGTGTGTGTGAAGTTAAGTGGCCGTCAGGGAGGTGTGACTTGGCACGCAGAGGGTCTCCACGGGGCCGAATCCCAGGGCGGGCGCGGCTTCAGCACCACGGACAGCGGCCCACGGCGCTCTCGGAACCGCGGGTTTCATCAAGCTCTGGGTCCTGCCGGGAGCCTGAGCCCCTCGCCCCCACCCGGGAACTTGTTCCGCGCTTGCTCGAGCTTGTCCGGAGCTGGGAAAGGGGGCTGTGGGATTCTCCCCTGTTCTGACCCTTCCGCAGCTCCAGTGCTTGACAGCTGAGGAAACTGAGGCCCCAGGGGCACACAGAGACTGGGATTCCACCTGCCTACTCTTCAGACCTTCCCTGGGGGGTGAAGACACCCTTGACCAATGGCTTGAGTTCTGGGAGAGGCCACGGGTGGGGGGACCTGGGGTGTCAGAATGAGGTGCATCTGGATGGTCCTGACCTGCACAGGGGCTCCCCATTCCGTGCAGGTGGTCCAGGCTGGGAGAACTTGGGTCAGTGTTTCTGCTCACGTTCCAGCGACCTGGCCAGCTGGCTGGGAAGGGATATCAGGGACATGGGCGGGGGGGGGGGGGGGCCGGGGAAGGGGCCTGCAGAAAGTAGCCATTGCCCTCGGTCTTCTCCAGCACGTCTGCCTGCAGCCAACCTCCCCCCCCCCAACCACCTGCCCACTGCCAGCGGTGGGGGACCCTGGGCTTCCTCTTGGCTGCAGAAGGGGCGGCTTACAGCCTGAGGGGAGGGGATGCCAGGGGGAGGAGCTGGGCTTCCCGGTGCTTGTGCCACTTGGAGCATGGTCACCTGTGAGGATCTGGGCAGGCCACGTGGTCTGGGCTGGGCAGATAAGCTGTAAAATAGGGTTGAGCAAGCAGGGGGATGGGGACTAGGGGAGACACTGTCAAATTGAAAACAGGATATTTCCCATCTGGGATGCCGTGGGGCCTCTACAGCCCCCCATGTCTTAGTGGAGGGCTGATTCAGTATGGACACAGGCCCCAAGCTTCCTGAGGCTCCCTGGGCGGCCCAGGTGCCATGGCAGCGCCTTACTAATACTGATTCAGTCATGTCAGCTGTAAAGTGGGAAGGGCACAGAGAAGTTAAGTCACCTGCCCAAAGCTACACGATGAATCGGGGCAAATTGGGGGTTCGCACCTGGGCAGGCTGGTAGCCCAGCCTCTGGCCGCGTCCCATCCAGACCGGGAAGACACGGGAAGGGAAAGGCTTGCTGGAGACTGTTCGAGATATCGGGGTACCCGAAGGCGGGCTGCAGATCATTGCTATGCTTCTATGCGTGTGTGAGCTTTTGTGAAACTGCTCACGGAGCAAAAGGCGGAGGAGCCTTTCTGGGTCCGCTTTTCCACACTTGCCCCCTTGAAATCTGACCCGACGGTGCCTGCGTCCACACACTGTGCAGGCTCTAAAGCGGAAAGAGATTCTGAGGTGCAGGCTCCCATGCCAGCCCCCACGCCTGCCCAAGACCAGGGTGTCTCCACCTCCCTGAGCTCTCGCTGTTGCTTGCCTGTGAAGCCCTTCCCGTGCCCATCGGCCCGGCCCCCACCTGGCACGGAGAACGGGACGACGGGTGTCCGCCGAACTGGAGCCGCCCTGGCACCGCCTCGTGCGCAAGCGGGCATACGCCTTCCAGGGCGTGGGGTGCTTGTGGGGGCCTCGAGGAGGGGGAGCTCTTGACACGTGGGAGTGGACAGAGGAAGGTGTCCGGGAGGAGAGAGCGTCCGGGGGAAAGGCCAGAAGGCAGCCGTCTGCAGAGGGCCCCGTGCTGCCTGCGGCTGGGCTCGCGTCCTCTCTGGGCCTCCCGCCTTGGTTTCCCCAAACGTGAGAGGCGGTGGTGTGGGCAAACGGGGGTGTGTGACTTTCTATGCCATTCCGGCCCCTCCCCCTGCTTCCCTGCAACGACCAGCCTTGGGACACGCTGTCCCCTTCCCCACCCCTGCCCGCACCCCAGCTCTGACCCACTGCCGCCTTGTCTCACGGACGCGCTGCCGGCACACCCCGACGCGGCCATTTCCACTTCACGTTGCTGGCCTGCCTGCCCCTCAGCGCCTGCCGTGGGCCTGAGGGCCCGTGAGGTCCCTGTCACGTCTGGGGTCTCAGGTGTTCGCGAGCTCGCTGAGCTCACACAGGCGCTCCGTGGTGCCCGTCCCTGGGCTGCGATGGACCAGCCCAACCCCTTCTGAGGCTGTTTCTCCGCGCGGAAACCGGGCATGTGGGAGGCACCAGGGCCAGGACGGAGAAGCCCCGGGACCTGTTCCAGAGGGGCTCACGGGGGGCAGGGGTGGGGGGGGAGGGGGAGCAGGTGGAGAAACAGGTCCAAGGGACAGAGGGAACAGTTTGGGCTTGGGAGGCTTGGTGTTCCCTTCTGGGCACCCTGAGGTCCGTGCCCGAATGGGAACAGGTGTCAGAACAAGAGTGCGAGGCAGGGGGGCAGCCACGGGGCCGGTGTGGAGGGCCACAGTCACAGCCGGCACCTCACGGAGTCCCCTCCCCTCCAAAAACACGAGAAAATAAGTACAGTTAATTCCTGTTCCTTTCACCTGGACCAGCACTGATTCCAGAGGGCAACAGGCCCCACGTGTGTGAAGCTCATGGGGGAACAGTGGGTGGGCAGGGGGACCCCAGCAAGGGTGGCCCCTGTGGGGCCCGGCTGGGACCATCACTCATTCTGGGTTGTTCTCCCCCACCGCCTCCTCATGTGGTTGTCACTCTGGTAACAGGCAGCCCCGGGGCCCGGGGGCCCGGGCAGGTCGGAAAGTTTGGGCGAGTGGCTTTCAACTTGCTCCTGTCTGTAAGTGCCTCTGAGGTCTGATCTGAGTCTCTGCCGCTGCTGCTGACTTTCCTGCACTGATCCCCAGTTGTCTACCGTGGGGGGGCCCCGAGTGAGGGGAAGAGATGAGTCCTTTCCTGCCCCTCAGAGGCATTTAGACAAAGCCGGGACCAGTGGACGCTGACCTGTGTCTGTGTCACGTCCTCTGGGGTCCCCGGGGGACTGGGCCGGTGGAGGGGCTGGTCTGAAGAACCGGATGGGACCGGAGGCCCCTGTCTCCTACCCCAGATGGCCTGGCGGATCCGAGGGAGATCAGTGTGGGAGCACTGTCTGCAAATCCCCGCATTAACTCACGGGAATAAATCCTGCGTTATCCGGGGGGGAGGGGGGGGGCGGGGGCAGGGGTGAGACAAGGGTTTCCCTGGCTCCAGACCCAGCACGGAGGCACGTGGGGTGGGGACAGGGGACAAATCCACTTCCCCAGGTGAGGGTTGAGGCCCAGGGCCCACCTGGTGGAAGGAAGGAAGCTCCACGATCCATATGAAGGGTGAGAGGCCATCTGTGGCCGAGGTCCCCCTCCTCTCTCCAGGGGACTCCTGCCAGAATTTGGAATTTCTGGTCCCTGCTTTAAAACCCTCGTGTCTCCAACCCCCTTGCTCCAACATCATGGGGGCCGGGCCTCCTCAGACCAGACCCTGCTTCACTTTTCCCCGTCAAGAAGCCGGCCCCAAATCCAGCCACTACAGGCCATTCCATCTCCCTCCTGCCCCCTTCCTAACCTCCCCACTGCCAGCATGGGCCTCTCAAGGTACATTTGTCCGTCTTTCCCTCTCACTTACGGCCTCCCAAGGGCCTGCAGAACCCAGCTCCTGCCCTCAGCCGTTTCCTTTCGTGCCTACTCCAGCACCAGGCCACCTGGCCAGCCTTAAGAGGGGGAAACCCCAGTGCAGCCACAGGACCTTTGCACTTGCTGCCTCCTCTGCGCGGGGCGCAGGGTCCCCTGAACTCTGTCAAGCAGCTACTTCTCCATTGTCTGCCCAAGTGCCATGCCCTCTGAGAAGCCCTCCGCACCCACTCTGAAGCATCCCACTCACTTATCTGTTGGTGTGGAATGTCTGTCTCCCCCACCCAGCCTGGGGCTCTGAGGGAGAGCTGGGTCTGTGTGGTCGCCAACTGTCCTCCCAGCCTGGCACACACCCTGCCCCCACAGCCTGCCCAGGCCCCGGGCTCACCCAGGAATCCGCTGATCTTTCCGGGAGGTGTCTTCCTTTCCTAATCCCTGACACTCGACTCGGATTTGAAACTCCATAAGGGAGGGCTCCTGCCCGCCCTGGCCCT